GAGTTGATGGGTGCTGACGAGTTGATGGGTGCAGCACAGCAACATGGCACAGGTATACATATGTAACAAACCTGCACGTTATCCACATGTACCCTAGAACTTAAAGTATAAAAAAAAAAAAAAAAAGAAATAATGAAAACATTCGTGTTGATAACCTAAGTTAACTCTTTTAACTGCAAGTTGCCATTTAAATCTTGTTTTTATTTTTAAATGGAATACTTACAGTACCTTCAAGTGACTCAGGTTGACTGGTTATTGTCAGAACAATGAAATGACAAAGCCACACTTACGGGTTTGCCTCTTCCATTGGTCAGGGTGCCGAGTTGGCACCCATGGGTGAAGACTGTCCAATCCACCCCAGTGTCTGCGTTCACTTCTAAGAGCAATTAGGCAAGAGCATAACGTGTCTGAAATATATTTCATATTGAATGAGATGGAGATGTATTAGAGGAAAAGCCTCACTAATTGATAATTATATTCATACATTGTCTCATTATTTCCAGTTTATGCAAATTATAAATATCCAAAGGTTTTTTTTTTTTTTTTTTTTTTTTTTTTGTGATCTTGGCTCACTGCAACCTCCACCTCCCAGGTTCAAGTGATTCTCCTGCCTCAGCCTCCCAAGTAGCTGGGATTACAGGCACCTACCACCGTGCCCGGCTAATTTTTGTATTTTTAGTAGAGATGGGGTTTCATGTTGGCCAGGCTGGTTTCGAACTCCTGACCTCAGGTGATCCACCTGCCTCAGCCTCCCAAAGTGCTGGGATTACAGCGTTAGCCACCGTGCCTGGCCTCAAAGAGATTTTAAAATATTCTACTTGTCAACTTTCAACCAACTAAAGACAAGGGTAAATACAAATGCAATATATGCTCATGTTAAAAATTTTTATCTGTTTTTGAAATACCATTCGACCCAGCAATCCCATTACTGGGTATATACCTAAAGGGATATGAATTGTTCTGTTATAAAGACACATGCATGCATATGTTCATTACAGCACTATTCACAGTAGCAAAGACCTGAACTCAACCCAAATGCCCATCAATGACAGACTGGATACAGAAAATGTGGTACATATATATTATGCAATACTATGCAGTCATAAAAAAGAATGAGATCATGTCCTTTGCAGAGACATGGATGGAGCTGGAGGCGATTATCCTTAGAAAACTAACAGGAACAGAAAACCAAATGCCACGTGTTCTCACTTATAAGCGGGAACTAAATGATGAGAACACACGGACACATAGAGGGGAACAACACACACTAGGGCCTATCAGAGGGTGGAGGGTAGGAGGAGGGAGTGGATCAGGAAAAATAACTAAACGATACTAGGCTTAATACCTGGGTGATGAAATACTCTGTAAAACAAACCCCCATGGCACAAGTTTACCTATGGAACAAACCTGCACATCCTGCACATGTGCCCCTGAACTTAAGATAAAAGTTAAAAAAATAAAATAAAATTGATGATGTCTATTACATATAATTATTTTCTTGGGATTTTTTAAATCTATTTTTCTTTGTTATTATAAAAAGCAATACACATTCATATCAGGAGTATGGGATCACCAGCGATTCTATCTATCTATCTATCTATCTATCTATCTATCTATCTATCTATCTATCATCTATCTATCTATCTTTTTTTTTTCTTGTTAAAATGTTTGGAACTAATTTCAACCGACAGAAAAGTTACAAGAACAGTACAAAAAATTTCCTGCTTCTCTTCGCCCAGAGACTCCAACTGTCCTAATAATGTCCTTTATAGCAAAAGGATCAGGTGTGATGCCTTTAGATAGTGCATTTCGTCATCCCTTTCATGTGAAACTGTTCCTCAGTCTCTTCAATTATTTTGCAAAATGTCCCCTCAGTTTGGGTTGGTGCACAGTTTCCTCCTTATCAGATTTTGGTTATGCATTTTGGGCAGAAATGTCACAGAAGCGGTGGTGTGTTCTTCTCATTATGTTTCTTCTTATGGCACATGATGTTGCTCATCGCATTCCATCAGATGACAATCTGTTCCATCACCCATGTTAACTTTGATCACTGCTGATGTTAACTTTGATCACTTGGGCAAAGTGATGTCAACAATTCTGTTCTATAAAATTACCCCTGTTCCTTTTCTAGTTAGTAATTATTTTGCAGGGAAATGAGTTGAAGCTGATTCTATTATTTCTTCAATTTCTAAGTTGGAATTTTATTATAAGGAATCACTTTCTCTTCTCTGTCTTTATATATTCATTTATATCAGTGAGGACTTCTAGATTACCATTTTATTTGATAGGATATAATCTCTTATCTCATTGTTTATTTTGATACTCAGGTTGCCCCATATTTGGCCAGTGGAAGCCCCATCAAGCCAGCATCTATGTCTTTTTGTCACCCAGGTTAGAATACAGTGGCATAATCTCAGCTCACTGCAACCTCTGCCTCCAGGTTCAAGCGATCCTTCTGCCTCAGCCTCCTGAGTAGCTGGCACTACAGGCGCGTGCCACCACGCCTGGCTAATTTTTGTGTTTTTATCAGAGACAGGGTTTCACCATGTTGGCCAGGCTGGTCTCAAACTCCTAACCTCATGATCCACCCGCCTCAGCCTCCCAAAGTGCTGGTATTACAGTGAGCCTGGTCGGCACTTTCTTTCTTTCTTGCAAGATATTTAAGGCCCATCTTATATTTTACCTGGCCCAGATCTGGGATCAACATTTCTCTAAGGAGTCCTGGTTCAGGTTTTCTCAGTGCGCCATGCTAAAAAAATATGTATATACACACATCTATGTTTTACATTTAAATTTACTTTTATATCTAGATATATTGAAAGTCACATTTTCATGCCAATTGCTCCAATATCAATCCAACCCCGTAAAGTACATTCAAGTTTTCCCCATTTTCAGAACCCAAAGGGTCAGAGAAGTTCATACACTGAGTTTCAGTGTAGGAAAAAGGCTTATTGAAATGTTTCTAACCCTGATTCTCATCCACTGGAAAAATTCTTTCTTTCCTTAAGGCCTTCAGTTATTTCAAATTCACAAAATTCAATTTTTGCTGGGATTTTCATGTCACCAAGTTTACAGGTATGGAAACGCGAGTTCTTAACACCGTCAGGATCACCCACAAGAGGCTGAGGAGCCTTTGTGTTAAATCCAAATTATATTACATTCTATTCAGTGCATGAAGAGCACAACCATAATGTGAAAAAGTCCCACATTTTGCAAACTGGAGTAGGTTTTCTTCCAAAACAATTGATTGCCCTTTGGCAGGTTTAATGGGGGGGTTACTTCTCAAATGCTCATTTAAACTAGTTAGTCTTGTTTGCAGACAAACAATTATAAGAAAAATATGTCTGGAAGGCAGTTCTAAGGCTGTTCCTCAGGGCACTGCTCTACTGTGCCTACTTATTAATCATACAATGTCTGGAGCACCTAACATCGTGATTGTATTTGATTGGCCTACTTAGAGACCAATGCACTTGACAAATATCAGATTATTATTTTTCCATTTTACCAGTAAGGAAACCGGGGTTCAAATAATTGTGGTAACTTGCTGAATTTGGCAGAGAAAGTGATCAAGATAGGACTTGAACCATAGCAGTCTGGCTCCACTGGCCCATGCTCAGTCATCACACTAAGCTGCCCACAACAAAGTTTTTAGGGAAAACCTTTTGGAAGATTAAATTGCCTGAAAAATGACATTCTGCATAAGACCCCTGTCTTAGAGTCTCCTTCATAATACACAGGCTGTTGGGTCTTTGGGGTGGGGTAAAGGTGGAAGGCAAGGAAAGGATAAAATGTGGAAGCTCATTGACCTTCTTGGCCCTTCATTTTGCCTTATGTAGAGCTATCGGATTCAAGCGATGGGCACTATATTTTTGAACTAAATCTATTGCTTATTAAAATTGCCCCCCAAAAGCCAGAGAGATTGACTGTTCCTTCTCTTGGCACACACCACCAAACCGTAAAGGACTTTACATTCAGTAGCTTGCCTCCCTGAAAGTGGCTGACGAGAGAGCCTGATGCATGGTACCTGCTTTCCTCCTCTTCCCTCCTCTTCCCCCAAACCTCCTCTCACAGTGGATGGGCAGCATGGACAAGTTGCAGGAAGAAGTCTCCAGGCCTTGACTTTGAGCTTGATTTGTGTTTCAGATTGCTGGGCTGATCGATCCCCACTTCATGAAGCTGCAGCTCAGGGGCGCTTACTGGCCCTTAAAACTTTAATTGCACAAGTAAGTGAACCGAAGACTTGATCCTTCATGCTTATGCTATAATTACATATCATTCTTTATTAGCTTTGGCTGTAGCAGAGGTGTGGCTCACCCTATCCAGGTCCCACCATTGCCATTCTAGGTATGTATGCCCTCTCATACCTCACCATTTATTCCTCCTGCCTCTCCTTCCCTGGAGAGCTCCTTCATTTTCTGCCCAGTTCCCTTCTTTTCCTCTGGGTCTTCCTTTACCTCATAAGAAGTTTCCCTATGAGGGATGATAGAGGATGCTCTCAAATGTTTGTTGCACTAACTCACCTCATGCTCTTCCAGCATGCATTAGCACCAGCAGTCCTGAAGTTACGTTAGTCAGCCACTGTTGCCTAACAAATGACCTCAAAGCATACTGGCTGAAAACAACAGATACTTGGATTTTCATGGTTTCTGTGGGCCAGGGAGCATTTAGCTAGGTGATTCTGGCTCTGGGTCTCTCACAGGCTGCCACGTGTCAGCCAGGGCTGCAGTCATCTCATGGCTCAAGTGGGGCAGGATCTGCTTTCAAACTCACTCATGTAGTTGTTGGGAAGCCTCAATTCCTTGCCACATGAGCCTCTCCACAGGGCTGTGTCATGAGATGGCAGCTGGCTTCCCCCAGAGAGAGTGCAAGAGGCACCTAAGAAGGAAGTCACAGTTGTTTTATAACCTCAGCTCCAAAATGACATTCTGTCACTTCTGCCATATTCTACTCATTAGGTGGGAGTCAACAAGTCCCGCCTACACTCAAGGGGAAGGGATTATGCAAGAGAGCCAGCGCCTGGATTCCAGGATTCCTGGGTGCTGTCTTAGAGACTGCCTATCCCAATGACACACTATTTTAAGAACGCACATTAAAATAGGTTGACAATGGCTAAATCTGACTCCCTAGGGAACATTTATTGACGTCTGAGTTATGAAGGCTACTTTATTTATATTTATGACTACATCCCCAGCACCTTGAACGATGAATAGGGGCCTAGTAAGTATTTGTGAAATGAATGAATGAAAGTGTGCAGGCTCCATTTGCTTTGTATGTTTTACAGTCTACATTTACACAGAGGAGGTAAGCCATCACCTCTTTCTTCCACAACTTGGCAATCATCTGGCTTTCTTGCTACTTTGAATTTAAACAGCTGGGTACACTGCTCGCTCTCTCTTTCTCTTTCTCTCTCTCTCTCTCTCCCTCTTTCTCTCTCTCTCTCTCTCTCTGTGCATTTGTATGTATTTTTCATTTATTTGTTTTTTGATTTCTCTCCTTTATGAGTTGTGTTACTTCTTAAAAAGTAGAGGCAAATGGAAATCAGCACTGCCAGCAATGATCAAATGAACTTTGTACCTGATTTTATCACTTGCTTATTTATTTTTAAGTACTTTAAATTTGATGTGATTTATTTTTAACATGTAATATATTCACATACTTCAAAACTTAAAATTATCTAAAAAGGTGGACTGACCGGATGTGGTGGCTCGCGCCTGTAATCCTAGCACTTTAGGAGGCTGAAGTGGGTGGATCACCTGAGGTCAGGAGTTCGAGACCAGCCTGGGCAACATGGTGAAACCCCGTCTCTACTAAAAGTACAAAAATTAGCCGGGTGTGGTGGTGGGCGCCTATAATCCCAGCTACTTGGGAGGCTGAGGCAGGAAAATCGTTTGAACCTGTGAGGGGTGGAGGTTGCAGTGAGCCGAGATCGTGCCACTTCACTCCAGCCTGGGTGAAGGAGTGAAACTCTGTCTCAAAAATAAATAAATAAAACTAAAAAGGTGCACAATGAAACGTCTTGCACCCACCTCTTCTCTCTCAGTCTCCCACCTCAGTACTTTCATTGGTGTATTTTTAATGGGCTTTTTAAATTTTTGGATAATTTTAAAGAAGAGTTGAAAAGGATACAGAGCGTTCCCATATACACTGTACCCTTCACCCAACTTCCTTTAATATTGACATCTTATATAGCTATGGTACACTAGTCAAAAATAAGAAGTTAACATTGATACAATACCACTGACTAAACTGCTCACTATTGGGATTTCACCAGTTTTTCCTCTCATGTCCTATTTCTGTTCCAGGATCCCACGTTCCACTAATTATACTTCATAAGCATGTTAGCTTCAATAATATGATTAAATGTGTAAGGGGCATTCTTTATAGAAAAGTTCAACTTTTTCCTTTTACACCCCTACTTTTTTACCCTTATACACTGTTAAAAAATGTATTTGTCTACTTTTATAAACTTTATTTTACATTTAGATAATATGGTCGATGTGAGTAAAACTTTAAGCCGATGTAAGTAAAACATTAAGCCTATGTGAGTAAAACATTAAGCCACGGTGAGTAAATGTGAGTAAAACATTAAACCAAGATTCAGGAGCTCTTGGTTACACTGCTGGCTGTCACTGACAACCAGTCTTAAAAAGTATTTGAACATTCTACTTCTCCATTTTCTCATGCACAGTTGAGGTGATCTACTCTAGATGATCTTTCAGGCCTGTCCAGCCTTACGTTTCTACAATTTTAGGGATTCTGAGATTTTGCGCCATAACAAAGTTTTTTCTAGCACACTTCTGCCACCTTGTGGACTAGTATGTTTTTTCTTGTTTTCTCAAAAGGAAAACAAAAATGAAAAGACCTTTTCTAACTCTTACTAGATGCCCAGTTTGAAATATGTAGCACAGATCTAGGGCAATGACGTCATATTCAGGACATGAAAATAGACAGAATTCAGGAGTCAAAAAGATGCCTTATGATGAAGGGACAGACAGTTATGGGAAATCGCAGCTGCTGGCCACAGTAAGGATGCAGCCAGAGATCTGGCAAGAGATGGTAGGCGTGTAAGTTGGAGTTTGGGGTTCAGGGTCATGGCATTGGGTTTTGGAAGCTTTCAGTTGGTCAGTTACAAGGCAGAGGATCAGAAGCAGGACTCAGCTGGGAAGGACAGACCAGGGACCTAATTCCTTTTATAAATCAAAAATAAAATTCTAAGCACCGCCCCCACCCCTGCAACCATCTGAATGTACCCCTCCTCTTAGCCAGGGCATTCCAAAACTAACCTGAAAAATTGGTTCAGGCCATGACAGGAAAGGAGGGTTGAACATGCCTCATTATACCCTCCTCCCTTTTGGAACTTAGGAAAAGATGAGCAGAATTTAACATCAACACAGACCTTAAGTCTGATAAGAAACATTTACAATCTATTCTCTCTGAAGCCTGCTACCTGGAGGCTTCATTCACATGATAAAACTTTGGTCTCCACAACTCCTTATCATAACCCAGACATACATTTCTATTGATAATAACTCTCAACCAACTGCCAATCAGAAAAATTTTCAATCTGTCTATAATCTGGAGCCCCAGGCCCCCACTTTGAGTTGTCCAACCTTCCCAGGTCAAACAATTGCACATTTTACATGTGTTTGATTGAGGTCTCATGTCTCCCTAAAATGTATAAAACTAGGCTGTGCCCTGACTACCCCGGGCACATGTTCTCCAGATCTCCTGAGAGCTTGTCACAGGCCATTGGTCACTTATATTTGGCTCAGAATAAATCTCTTCAAATATTTTACAGAGTTTGACTGTTTTTGTCAACACTTTAGCAGATAGAAAGTAATCATCAGAGGGAGGGAAATGGTAAGAGTCAAGTTATTAAAATCAGGTTATGAAGTCAGAGTTGTCCAGCAGCTAGGCTGACCTTGTCATCTGTCACATGGAGTCCAGGACAAGGAAGGGGACACATGGTAGTATGGGGAGGAAGAATGTGTTAGGACGGGGTGGAGATACTCATACCTGGGTGAGGAAATGAAGGTTAGGAGAAGTCCGCTGGCCCCAGACTCTAGGACTTCAGGGACCCCTGCACACAGTGGAGTCATGGCCACAGCAGTGCTGCCACTACACAGCACATGAATCCTAGGAGCACAGTCTACTTACTCTTAAGCCTGGGAGTTATTGTTTTGTTCCAGATCCAGTTCGACCTCCTGAACTTGTCTGCACTCCATCATCTATACCTTATACCTACTGTTATTCACACCCACAGCAGGCCCATGCCAGCCTGTTTCTAGACTCATAGTGACATCTCTGTGGCTCTCCTTGCTTTGATCTTACATCCCTACTCCTGCGATCAACCCTCCACGCTGCTACCAGTAGGCTTCTAAAAGGGCTAATCTATTAGCTCCAGACCCTCTGCAGCCTAGCAGACTTCATAGGTGCTCCATTTCCTCTAAGACATGCAGCACTCCTTGCTTGGAAATCAAGGCCTTTCATGACCTAGCTCCAGCTTACTGTCCTCCTTCATCTCCTCCCATCTCCTGCTTCTTATTTCTGTGGGTTCTTTCTGTTCCAGAAATCCAACTGTGGCCCTGCCACAGGAAGCAACAGGAAGCTGAATTTGCAGTTTCTATTCTTTCCTAATGGCATACTCTTTCTTGGTCTTCACAGCTTGAAACATTTTATGCTTCAAGTCTTAGCTAAATACTACCTCATTTGCGAAGTTTTTCTTACTGCCCAAGCCAGATTCAAGGATATCCTATGCTCCCAAATGAATTTCGAACATGCTTCCAGTATAGCAATATTCTTGCTCTTTTGTCTTTCATTTCTGCCTCCCCAGTAGGCTCTGGGAGAAGAGAGACACATGTCATAAGTTTTGAAGACCCAGGTCCTAGTACATTACCTGCTCCAGAATGTGGAATTAACATTTTCTTGGATAAATAAATGTGAAACTCTCATGCTGTGTTTAGGCTCCCTTGATTGTAACTTCTACTTCTCTCTCTATGGTGCTAACATTACACCCACAGACTCTGAAAATGTCAGAAACATGTGAAACAACATTGCTTTCATCGCTATCACTAATGCAGCATTTCCCTCTCTTCCCCTGGGCTTGCTGGCTTGCACTTGAAATCCCAGCTACTCAGGATGCTGAGGCAGGAAGATCAGTTGAGGCCAGGAGTTTGAGACCAGCCTGGGCAACATAGTGAGACCACAGTCTCTAAAAAACAAATAAACTCTCTTCTTTCTAAATTATAGGGTGTCAATGTGAACCTCGTGACAATTAACCGGGTGTCTTCTCTCCACGAGGCATGCCTTGGAGGTCACGTGGCCTGTGCCAAAGCCTTGTTGGAAAATGGTGCACACGTGAGTACTGCCCCTGCCCACTTGGGTCTGTCTGGCCAGATGCATCTGTTAATGTTTAAAGATAGTTTACCTTCCAGATGGCTTACCCACTGTGGGTATGGGCTGGGCTGGTTCTATCCATGTCCTTATTCCATCATTTAGGCTACTCCTCTCTCTTCAGCTTACACCCCTGTGTGTAAATATTCAGACATGGCAACTCACAGGAACCTTTTAAAACTGTGTTGCTGACCTTAAGAAATCTTTACTGTACCACGTTTTCTTTTCTTTCTTTCTTTCTTTTTTTTTTTTTTTTGAGACGGAGTCTTGCTCTGTCGCCCAGGCTGGAGTGCAGTGGCGTGATCTCGGCTCACTGCAAGCTCCGCCTCCCGGGTTCACGCCATTCTCCTGCCTCAGCCTCCTGATTAGCTGGGACTACAGGCGCCCGCCACCACGCCCGGCTAATTTTTTTTTGTATTTTTTAGTAGAGACGGGATTTCACTGTGTTATCCAGGATGGTCTCGATCTTCTGACCTCGTGATCCACCCGCCTTGGCCTGCCAGAGTGCTGGGATTACAGGCGTGAGCCACCGTGCCGGGCCACCATGTTTTCTTTATGCATTCATCTGCTGATGGACACTTGGGTTGCTTCCAGGTCTTCGCAATTGTGAACAGTGCTGCATCAGACACGGGAGTGCAGATATCTCTTTGATGTATTGTTTTCCTTTCTTTTGTATATACCCAGCAGTAAGATTGCTGGATCATATGGCAGCTCTATTTTTAGTTTTCTGAGGAACCTCCAAACTGTTCCCCATAATGGTTGTACTAATTCATAATCCCACTAACACTGTATGAGGCTTAATAACAAGATTTTAAAGAACAATAGAAAACACTCTTAATTCAAACATCTTCAATGGACAACTATTTTTATTGAGCAAAATTATCAAAATAAATGACCTTTTAATAAACAATACATTGGGGGAAATCTACAGAATTGGACTTTATCTTATTTTAAATTTATCTCCGAACTTTTTTCGAAGCGTGACTGAAGTGCATTATATAATATAGATACCAGAATAGAATCATAAAATCACAACTTCTAAAAATCTTCTGTATTTAGTTGCCGGATGCTCTTTGTTTCTAATTTTGTTGTTTAACTCAGTCCTTGCAATATTTATTTTATGAACTGCAATGTTTTTAAGTGCTTAATGACAATTTAAAAAAATTTTATGTGGAAATTGGGTTTCCACATGGAGAACTGAATATAAAAGTCTTCCTTGTGAAACTACTTTTCCTGAGGCCATTGTGGTCGTGCATTTTCTTTTTTCAATTTTTTTTCCCCTTCTTTATTTTTTTTAAGACAGAGTCTCACTAACACTATTGCCCAGGCTGGAGTGCAGTGGCACAATCTCAGCTCACTGCAACCTCTGCTTCCCAGATTCAAACGATTCTCCTGCCTCAGACTCCTGAGTAACTGGGATTACAGGTGCCCGCCACCACGCCCAGCTAATTTTTGTATTTTTAGTACAGATGGGGTTTTGCCATGTTGGCCATGCTGGTTTCAGACTCCTGACCTCAGGTGATCCGCCCACTTTGGCCTCCCAAAGTGCTGGGATTACAGGTGTGAGCCACCGTGCCCTGCCAAGTGGTCGTGCATTTTCATTAGATAGTGCTTCTCTAAGTCACCGCTTAGTCAGCTCATGGGTAATGATGAAAGAAGGCTGTGTGAGAGCCTTTTCCTTTCAAGCTAGATGACTGGAGTCACAGGCAGACTGCTGACAATATCAGGTCAGAGAGGAGGTTTTGTTGGGCACAAAGAGAAGAATAAGACATGTTTCTTTGTCTCTGTCAAGTTTATAAAGAAACAGCCAATAAATACTGTATCACACCATTTAACATTTAAATCAGAATGAGAGATGAAATAAGAGAAAGTTGGCCTTCAGTAGAAAGTCCCCCACAATTGGCAGTCCCATGGATACCTCAAATCAGTGCATCTGTAACTGTGCTTATCATGTTCTTCCCTCTGGGACCTGCTCCTCATCTTGGGTTCCTAGTTTCAGAGGCCTGGTGAAACATCCTCTTGGTTTCCCAAGCTGCAAACCTGAGAGTCATCTTACTTCTTTCATCTCCCTATCTAATTAATGAAAAACTCCTGCTAATTTTACTTTCTAAGTTTTTCCCAAGTCTATCCTCTCCTTTGTCCTACTCCCATAGTCATCTAAATTCTTTATTACATTTTCAAAATGATTTATTTTTCGCCAGGCGCGGTGGCTCACGCCTGTAATCCCAGCACTGTGGGAGGCCGAGGCAGGTGGATCACGAGATCAAGAGATCGAGACCATCCTGGCCAACATGGTGAAACCCCATCTCTACTAAAAATACAAAAATTAGCTGGGCGTGGTGGCGGGCACCTGTAATCCCAGTTACTCAGGAAGCTAAGCAGCAGAATCTCTTGAACCCAGGAGGTGGAGGTTGCAGTGAGCCGAGATCATATCACTGTACTCCAGCCTAGCGACAGAGCAAGACTCTGTCTGAAAAAAACAAAAAACAGAAAACAATAAAAACTTCTTTTTGTGTTTGTCCTCCCTAGTAGAATTCAGCCTACTCAAGGAGAGGCAATTGTTCAGCCTACTCAAGGAGAGGCAATTGTCTTATCATTGTTTCCAAAACATTAGCACCTAGTAGATGCTCAATAAATGTTTGCTGATGTGAACTAAGAGAGAAATTTATAGGAAATCACATAAGAAGACAAATTCCTAGACTGGGGATGAGGATGATACTTAGAAAAACACAAATCAAACTAGTCCTACCGAATACTTTTTAGTAAAAATATAGAAACCCCTAGCAATATGAATTGACACACATTTTCCCCTGACCTTGCCTGTCTCTGCCATCTTAGCATCTTATCTTTAACTTTCCAATTTAATGGGGGTTAGGCTGGGTGTGGTGGCTCACAACTGTAATCCCTGCCCTTTGGCAGGCTGAGGCAAGAGGATCATTTGAACCCAGGAGTTTGAGACCAGCCTGGGCAACATAGCTAGACCCTGTCTACAAATAATTCTTCTAAATTTGTGGGTCATAGTGGTGCATGCCTGTAGTCCCAGCTGCTCAGGAGGCTGAGGCAGGAGGATCACTCGAGCCTAGGAATTCAAGGCTGCAGTGAGCTATGATCACAACACTGCACTCCAGCCTGGATAACAGAGCAAGACCCTGTTTCACGGGTTATATTGCAACTCTGGAAACAAGTCTTTTTTTGTGTCCAAAGCAAGGACATTTAGAATCCTGATTATCACAAGCATGTATCCTTAGTTGTTGAAGCAAAATTGTTTCACATCAAAAACTTGACTGTCCTACATTTCAATGGCATCAGAGCTCCCTACTACTCCTGCAGTTCCTGATGTTCTTTCCAATCTATTGTTGATACACAAAGATGTTTCCCAGCCCTGCTGGTTCTCATGTGCTTCCCACATCCCTACAAGGTACCAAAGATGGTTGCAGACACCATGTTGATGGCTGTTTTCTATGTCCCTTTGGCTTGGTCATGCTATCTTTAGAAGTAACAGCTGGCATGCGTAATTTGCTTGGATTATAGTAGACCAGAGAGGAAGTTGTGGCAAGAAAGACAGTAGATCTGTGGAGAATTGCCAAGGATTTTGTAAGCATGGATTTTGGGACCACAGCTAGCTGATTTCTCCAGTGCTTTTGGTTCCTGCCATGTTTGTTCATGATTCAGAGGGGAGTCATATTAATGGAAAATGGAAAATGGAAATAATTGTTATTGCAAATGCTTATGGAGTGCTTACTGGGCGACACATAATGTTTTAAGTGTTTAACATATAGTAACTCGCTCAATCCACCCAATAACTTCATGAAGTTTCATAATACTGTAAAGATGTGGAGTTCCCTCACCTATTCACCAGCACGGGGAATTCCTCTAGGCAAATACACAGGAAGACATACTTGGAGATGGTGAGAATGAAATAACAAATCCTCTGGCTCTCTCTTTGCCTGTCATTAGGTCAATGGAGTGACAGTTCACGGAGCCACGCCCCTCTTCAATGCTTGCTGCAGCGGCAGTGCTGCATGTGTCAATGTGCTGCTGGAGTTTGGAGCCAAGGCCCAGTTTGAGGTGCACCTGGCCTCGCCCATCCATGAGGCAGTGAAGAGAGGTAAATGAGCCACCACAATGCATGTGAAACATTGATGGGCTCACTCCAATCTGTATGAATCAATGGTCTAGTGTTAATCATTCAAGGGTGACCCTGATCTTCCTCACCATTAGAATATGTGTGGCCTAGAAATCCCACAGCAGTAACTTCAATTTGTCTAAATCTTCAGGAAATACCAGTGTGGCACAAAGAACTCTACTTATAACTTCGGAATGCTTTCCTGACTCAGATGTCCCATTTCCTGGGGATGGTCTGTTGGCAGGCCTTTCCAGAGCCTCTTTGCTGGTGTTTTGGTGGCAGCTGGTACAGCCAAGGCAGTAGTTGTGACTTACTTGAATTGTACTATGCTTATGTCTCTGTCCTTGGTAGGCAAGAATAGCTTATCCTCTAAAGTCCATAAAATACCAACCACTAACCTAAAATAAACTATGAAAGTATCTGAAACCCAAGGCTGATACTATCTCTAATGGAATAGTAAATGTAACTGTTCATAATAAGTTACACAATCTAGATGGACTGATGACTTCAAAGTCATAATTATGGGAAAGAAAAGGCTGCAACTTTCCAAAGTATAGCATTGGAAATCTTGAAGCTGACTCCAGACTCCTGTGTTGTCGGTTAATTTCAAAGTGAAGGAAAATAGTAAATTCAAGGAATTTAAAAACTATATGCACAGACTAGACATGAAGGAGAAGATGCCACTGAAAGGACAAGGCCATTTGTCAAAGGTCACACACCCAAAGAGCGACATTTTGATGATAGCCAGTGAGGGAGTTGTTCTCTTAACTGAGATCAGAAATACAATGGTGAAGTTAAAACACTCTAGAATAGTGATCTTTGCTGGTGTAATTTGGGACGAAATACTTTATTTCAAAAGGCAAAAGTGAAAGATTTGTTCCAGGTTATTAAACATGTCACTTGCCAATTTTTTTTCCAGTGGATTACCTTAAATGATGCAAAAGACCCAAATCTAAATTTATCTATGTATTTTATGTTCTAAATGTATTTAATACACATTTATTAAATAATAGCTGATGTTAGTCATTTCCCAAACATCATGTAAGTCCTTTAATTTGTAGAGTAATGAACTACTTTGGAAACGATATAAATGTCTTTCTTTTTTTTTTTCTTTTTTTTGACAGAGTCTCATGCTATTGTCCAGGCTGGAGTGCAGTGGTATGATTTCTGCTCACTGCAACCTCCGCCTCTCAGGTTCAAGCGATTCTCCTGCCTCAGCCTCCCAAGTACTGGGATTGCAGGTGCTCGCCACCACAATTGGCTAATTTTTCTATTTTCAGTAGAGACGGAGTTTCACCATGTTTGTCAGTCTGGTCTCGAACTCCTGACCTCAGGTGATCCACCTGCCT